TTTATCGATAAAAAGAATATGATATAAAGTCAGAATCTCCTCACCAAATTGTGATGTTACTGTTCCATGCACATTTAATTCTTTTGCACCTTATGCTCTGCTTATATTCTCATTGACCTTATTGGCACCTATTTTTCTTCTGAAATTTATTTGTGTCCTTTTTGCTCCCTCAATAAGTTTGGAGCAAGCACCTGCTTTCTTTCTCTTCTTAGGAGCTAGAAGCTTAGTCTAAGACGCTAACGAGAAAGGAAAAGAAAAAATGTTTCTTACATATCTTCCTTGTTTTATCCAACTGGACATAGTAGACTTTTTTTCTGAAGAATATATCTAGTGAGAATCTAGGGGTGATATGCAATGCCCATGTTGTTCATGCTGACCATAGTGATTTTGGTACTATGGATGAAAAATGACTCAAGCTCCCTGAACTAGATGGCACAGTGACTATCAGCTAAGATGCATCACTATTATCATCTAAGCCTTTTCTGTCGAAATAATCAAGGTCTAAGAAGCATGAAAAAAGGCATGCTAATGCACACATGACCGTAAAACACAACAAATACTAAACAAGATCAGCACGGGCTGTGTCCACTACATACCATGCACAAGCACGCATTTAATGTAAAAGTGTTACGCTACAGAGCAGAAGGCTTTAAGATTGATCAAATTCTATTAAGGGCTATTAGCCCAGGCTGGTGCCAAAGTCCTGGCCATAGAAATAATGGGAAAGACAGGATACTAGCATGAACTCAAGCCAAATGGAAGGTAGGAAATTTTACTTAATTGATCTTTCAGTTTAAGGCTGTAAGCTCACACAACATACAAGCAAAACCTTATGGAATCTCCTACATTAAGAAAAACATAAATGGGAAAATATAGGAGTTCAGCTTGAAGTTACAAATATAAAACAAATGAACCAAATTAAACACATCTGGAATTCAACCAGAAGAGATAATTATGTTATTTTTTTCCCCTTGTCTATGTTGCACAAGCACACACTAGAAGCCCCTATTGTTGGCCTTCTTGTTTTGATGATGTTTAATAAACAATTTACAACTAATGTTGTTTGTCTAGTATTTGTGTTTCCTTATTTATTGTAGACAAACAACATGTTGGAGGATGGATGGAATAGCGCTTCAACGATGATATCAAATGGAGGTTGGAGGAATTGTGGAGTGAAGCAACGTACAATTCAAGTTAAAGATCAAGTTCAAGCTTCATCCGCATGTGTACCAAGTTGAGCTACAATGAAGATCAATATCAAACTTGGGTAATTTAGTTTAGAATTTATATTATGTGTGTTACGTACTCTAAGCTCAATTATCTATACACACACATTTATTGGTTTCTTCGTATATATATATAGTTATATATATATATACATAAGTTTTGGTTTCTATGCATATATATAGTTATATATATACATACATAGTTTTTTGAGTTTTCACGTTTATAAATATGAAATCATATATTTCATATTTACTATTGTGTTTTTGAAAACATTGCATAGAATATGCAACTTTGTGAAAATTCTGTATTCTTAGCTTTTGGACTTAACAATAATCATATACATATTTTATTAAGTCTATATAATCATTGTGCAAAGTTTCAAAACATGGTTTAACCAAAATATCAAATTTCACATGTTTACATTTTCGTGTTTTGAACTATTTTGCAAAATGATGATTTTTCACAAATGGGAAATGCAATTTGAAAAATTCTTTTTGTAACATGTTCATTTACATGTTTATATACATTTTCCAAAGTTTCATATTTTTTGGACTTCATTTGTTATTTTTAATAATTTTCCAAAAGTCAAAAAATCTTTTTTCAAAACCTGTTTTCCTGTGTATCTGTTTGCGGTCGACCGCACCGGTCGACCGCCCATGAGTTCAGAACTCAGATTTTGTTTTTATGGCTCGCGGTCGACCGTGACGGTCGACCGAACGCAGTCCAGAGACTTTCGCGGTCGACCGCCGCTTGTCCAGTTTCTTTTTTCGTTGCTCGCGGTTGACCGCACCGGTCGACCGCCGCACTGTCAACTCAGTTCCAACGGCTATTTTTAGAACCGTTGCAGAGTGATTTTTTGGTCTTTTTCTTGGCTTTCTCTTGGCTTTGGGGTTTCTATAAATACCCCACTTACCTCAGTTCTAACTAAGCAATCTAAGAGAATGGTTTAAAAGATTTTAACAAGGGTTTAAACTTGTTTAGTGTTTGTTTAAGTTTGTTTTAAGAAGCTTTTAAGCATTTGAGTGTTTCGGTTTTGTGAATCAATTCCACAAGAGCTTGAGGAGATTATCTATCCTCAAATCTCCATCTCTCTATCTTGATCTAGAGAAGTTTTCCTAAACTCAACTCTAGCTTTACATTTATATACTTGTTTGATTATCATTGTTCTTAAGCTAGATTTTATATTTGAGTTTAGTTTGATTTTGATTTCACTTATTGTTACACACCCACTTTGAGCTTATTGTATTTGCATACATAGTATATTAGGGTTGTGAGAGATTGTAACATTGAGTTGTGCTTAATTGAGTTTTCATCTATTGTAGAGAACAAATTTATATTTATTACATTGTGAGATTGTTAGGTTTTCGGTGAGCTAGAAACCGAGTGTGTTGTGAAGTTTTTGGTAAACTAGAAAACCGAGTGTGAGGAGTGAATGTTGTTCGGTGAGCGTTGAAAACCGACACTGTGAGGTGTAAACGTTATTCGGGTGAGTGTAGAAAATCCGGTTGTGATAGTGGATTTCTCCCCGGAAGTGGGGAGCGGAGACGTAGGACGGAAGGTCCGAACTCCGTGATCATATCTTGTGTTTGAGTGTGCTTTGGCGTTTATTTATACTTGTGTTTATATTTCTTGTCGCCATTGTCATTAGCTCATTATTTATATGATCCACTATCTAGTTCATATTGTTTACCCCTTGTGTTAGTTTTATATCCTTGCATATACATATATCATATTGTATATCTCTTTGATAGGATATATCATCTTGTGTTAGTTTATATATCCTTGCATATATATATTCATCATATAGGATATATCTCATTACTCATATTGCTTATCCTAGCTTATATATCTTGTTATATTTCATACTTGCTAGGATAACTTGTTAATTAATTTTAACTGGCATATAATCGGATTAGATTAGCATAAGACACTAATCACCCCCCTCTAGGGTCTAACACCTATATCCATACCCACCACAAACCTACTCTGACACGTACAAAATATCAGGTCGATATGTGTGTGACATGTCCAGCATCTGACAAGCCATGAACTAGCTTGGAGATGCTGGATATGCAACAGTATATATGTCCAGCTGCATGGTTTATAGTACTAGGGATTAAAATTTTAAATGAATTGTACTCGTGCAACTTGTTATTGCGACCCTTCAGGGTATATCATACTCTATACTAACCATACTCTATCCTAATTCTATAAGCGTGTGCATGTATAACATATATATTATGGCCATATGCACAAGTTATTTATATACTAATTATATATTTTAGATATATTTTCCTGACTTGATGTAAAGACATATCTAAGTGTGCATCATGCATGTATAGCTGAGCTCATCTTTATTATTACGGATGCTCAAGTGTTAGGTAATCATCCCAAGATGTTACTTTTTTAAGAAATTATTATGAAACGTTTCTATGTACATACAGTACGCATTGCCCGTATTACAGTGCAAACACCCGCTTAGAATAAACAATGAAGCACTATTGCTTGGGGTTGCAAACTGTGACACATGCTGTCCGACTGAGAGGATTTACATGCATTATACATTACATGTTTCTTATGTGTGAACTATTTAGTCCAAGTGACAGATGTTGCACGAAAAATAGTTAAGTTTTTTACAATGATAACCCAACTGAAATAAGACTCCATCACTTCATACCATTACAAAGCTTCAATACCACCTAATACGTTCAAAGTAGCAAAATATTCTAATAATCTAGCAATAACATCAGTTCTATACATGAAAAAAGACACAGAAAACTAGATGAAAACAAGATATGTGATCAGTTGTATTGAACATTGTTACATACATCTGGTTTCCAATGCATGTTTTAACTTTTCCCACATCCTCAAGACCCACTGTTAACCCCCATATAATTCCTAACATTGTCTTGCTTAAAACTAAATCATGTTGCTGTTGCTTCCACATACCATTGACTTTAAAGAGACTATTGATTAGGCATGTGTAAATGCATATGTTGATCTTTTGAGAATATTGTAAAGCACTAAATCATTCCATGGCTTGCTTCTTTAATGCAAACCCCTTAATTTGGAAGGACTTGCATAGAAAAAATCTATAATGTTTTGTCATATGATGCTTTGTCATATGCACGCACTATAGAGGCTATAGGGTATTGATTTTGTAATATTAGGGTCTAGAGGTAGCACTGGATTTTTCTCCCACTGTGCAGACTCCTTCATGTAATGGTAGAAAAGTGCAGGTATTATACGGATTGGGACTTTGAATACAAATTTCATGCACGATTCACACCCAAAGATATAATAGTGATGCCCAAGAT